AGGGAGCCCGATGCGGGGCTCGATCCCAGGACCCCGGGATCATGACCTGAGCTGAAGGCAGACGCTTAACGACTGAGCCACCCAGGCGCCCCAGGGTTTGCCATTTTTCAAATGCTCAATAGCCTCATGTAGCTAGTGGCTACCATGTCAGACAGTGTAGCCCTAAAGCATGAAAATACAAATTACTGAACACAATTTACAAAGCCCTACATGTCTTCCTAGCCTCATCTTTTGTCACTCTCGCACATCTACCCTCCACTCTTTGTTCTAGCCTTGTTATGCTCCCTATATGCCCTTTCACACGTCCATGATTGTTGCCTCTTCTTGGAATATTCCTTATCAGGCTACTGCCCCCACTCCCATCAGTCCTCTTTGCCAAACCATCTCTTCTGCTCCCATAGCACTACCTCATTTGTTGAGTGTTCTCCGCGTATTATCTCATATATCTCATTGTGACATATATGGTATTTTTATACACAACCTTTTTAAACTTTTTTTTTTACTGAGATGTAGTCAGCAAAGTGTACAGATTTTAATGTGCAGCTTGATGGGTTTTACAAAGCTGTATATCTATCTAACCACCACCCAGGTCAAGATCAAAGCCTCAGCAGGCTCCCTCATGCCCTTTTCAAAAATAACAGTATTCTGCCCTCTGTCACCATAAATTAATTTTGCCTGGTTTTGAACTTAATGTAAATACTCTTATATAGCATATATTTTTCCATTTACACTGAGTTCAAAATCAGGCAAATTTAATTTGCCTGATTTTGGTGTCTTTCTCTCAAAATTAGGTCTGTAAGATTATTCTACCTTTTCATGTGGAGCAGTGTTTGGTTCTTTTTCATTGCTGTACAGTACTCTATTATGTAAATATACCAATTACCATATAGATGTACTAATCAATTCTGTTGATGGTCATTTGGACTGGGTATTATGAATAAAGTGCTATGAATATTGTTTTGTGTGTCTTTTGGTAGACATAAGCACTCCTTTCTGTAGGTATATATAAATGGAGTTGCTGGATCATAAAGTAGGTACATGTTTAGGTTTAGTAGATATTACCAAATAGTTATCCAAAGTAGTTGTAGCAATCAACACTCCCACCAGCAAAATAAGAATTCTAGTTATTCTACCTCCTTGCCCTTAATATTGGCAGCCTTTTTAATTTAATTTAGTTTTAGCCATTCTGGTGGATATATAGTGGTATCTCGTGGTTTTAATTTGCATTTTCCTGGTGACTAAAGATAATTGAGCACCTGTTCATATCCTTGTTAGTATTTGGATAGCCTATTTTGAGAAGTGTCTGTTTGAGAATGTTGACCAATTTTTATTTAATTGTCTTTTTCTTACTGATTTGTAGGAATTCTTTATCCCTTCTGGATACAAGACCTTGTCAGATTCGTATATTGCACATATTTTCTCCCAGTCTGTGACTTGCCTCTCACTCTCTCAGTCTTTTTTTTTTTTTTT